GAAATGGTAGTCAGGCACTGGAACAGGCTGCCCAGGGAAGTGGTTGAGTCTCCATCCCTGGAGGGATTTAAAAGATGGGCAGATGTGGTGCTTGAGGACATGGTTTAGTGGTGGACTTGGCAGTGCTAGGTTAACGGTTGGACTCGATAATCTTAAGGGTCTTCTCCAACCTTGATGATTCTATGATTCTTTCTGCTGCTTAGTATGATAGCAATTCTGCAGCTGATATTTTTCTCCCACGACAATACCTGAGGTGTGGTGGTCTCCTGGTGCTATCTTAAGGTGGAGCTATGCCTTTTAGTTCAATTCAAGAGTGTGTGCAGATCATCACCACTGAGTGATCTCAGACCTGACTTGTTTCAGATGAAACTAAGCCGAAAACAGGCTTCAGGAGGCTACCTACTGTGCTTCAGCCACTAATGGGCTTCAGATCACTGGACCACGTCAGAACTAGTGACAAGAAACTCCCCTGGAACACATGTAGCGTGGACATTGGTTTCTCAGCACCAGCTGTTTTGCTTTATAGATCTGTTCCTGTTGGTCTACACTACTCGCTAATCTAAATGTGAAGTCAATTTAATTGACTTTTTTGCTGAATCAGCTGACTGAAATGCATCCATTAAAAATGCAGTTTCTTTATTACTGCTGATGCCCTCAGAACAACAACAAATGCAAGTGCTGAGCTCCATGTTGTCTATGTTTGACTGTTGCAGAGCCTTGTAGGAAAGTGAGCCTTGATGGGGATGTGAGCAGCATTTACTGCCCCCCCGCCCCCCCTCCCATTTTTGTTGTTGTTGTTGTTTTTAGTTTTTTTAGCCGCATTGATGCATAGGGGGCATTTAGGTACCTAGCAGTGTGATATTTGAGATCTGCTGTAGGGGAGTGCACAAGGTAAGGAGGTTCCTAAAAGAGCCTTTGGGCTAAATAAGTGTATGATCAGTCTTATGGGCTGGAGCAATGCGATTTAACTTCCTAAATCTCACCAGAATAAACTTCAGCTGAAAAAAAACTTGCTTAAACATTGTATTATATACATTCTTACAAATTACTTCCTATTGGTCTTTCTGTTTTTTAAGAGATGGAGCAAAAAAGGTTATCAGCCACATGAGAACTGAGGAAAAAGCTGGTCCTGTATTTGCAGCGTACTTATCACTTCATGTCTCAGTTCACATCTGTTTAAGTTATCTGTTTTTAGCTTTTTGTTTCCCTGGCAATGAGAGCAAACACTATATTACTGCAACTTCTAACAATAACTCTCTGTTTCTGTATTCTGCTGTACTAAGCTGGTCCCAAAGAGATTCACATAAAATCATTCTTTGTAACCAGCTATATTTCATATGGACACTATCTGTAAAATAATTATGTATTCCTGATGTCCACATACCCTACAAGGCTATTAGTGTGTACCTACATAGGCATTTCTGATAATATCCAGTTCTAACACTAACTCTGTATAATATAAACTCTATAAAAAACTGAAAATATGCACACCCCTAGCCATGGCAATGTTCCACAGTTCTAAATATCATGTGCTTGAAATGCTCAACCAAAAAAACCCCAAGAAGTTTAAAAATAATTATTATAGTGGCGCCTTTCTTGCTGCTGCATAGCTGAAGTCCTCCTCACCATCTGCTCCTGTATGTAACTGAAATTTAAAACCCTGGCTTGTAAATAAATTGTGGTCTGAAGTTACTGATACAGCCTTTTGTTCAGTGAGCAGGCAGCTCAGCTATGAAATAGCTGTCCTAGTACTCGGAGATAAGTGTGTCTTTAGCTACATTCTCAGCAGGTATCCTCAAGCGCGTCAGTACGTTACCAGCTTCTGTGTCCAGCTAGGAGTTCTATGGATTTGGGGAATAATTTACACTTAAAAAAGCGATATGCATAGTATTACATGTATGATTCCCTTTTCACTTTATGCTTGTTTCTTCCAGTTAGAGTTTCCCTAGAACATAGGCTCTAGGATGGTGGGAATGCATTGTAAAACGCAGAAAGAATTTCAGATAACATGGAGAAACAGTGGCTGAAGGATATGATTCTGACATAGAAGTGCACCAAACTTTTTCTTTGAAATAAACTCTCATGAGTAGTAGTGGATTTCAGTTGAGAAGGATGGAGTTTAGCTTTTTGATCATTGGTTTTCGGCCAGGTAGGACTGGGTGAGGCTTAGATCAGAGCCAGCAAACTAGCTTCTGATCAAAGGGATCACCAGAGAGCAGTAAGTATCCTTCTTTGACTGTACTACCCTGTAAACACAATTTAGGATGAGTACCGTCTCCATGGGCACCAACCTAAAAACTTCCAAAACTTTAACTTGGAAGCTATACCTTAAGTTGAACGTTCCTGCAAAATACCAAATCCATTGCTAAAAATGGTTACAATAAAAGTTGTTTAACAGACTGCATTTGTCTGGCCAAGGCAGTAGATCGCATAACTGGAGCTGGACGCGCCCAGCCTAGCTGCTTCCATGTTGCCTATGGTATGGAATGTGGAGCTGGCTGCACTGGATGCAACACTCGCTCTCAACAGCGAAGATCAAGCGGTGTCTGCTGAACTTCCAGGCATGGTTTGATAGACTAGTTAATGAGATGGAGTTCTGAAGAATATTTAACTATCCCTGCAAAGGGATAGTTAAATATTTGTGAAAAAGCTAGCAGCAACTTGAAACCAAACTCTTCGAACACATCTCCTGGAATGTTGTTCGGGGTTGCATGTCACAAAAGCATCAGACTCTTTCTTTTAAACCTTTGACCTGCATCTGGAATATCAGTAAATTCACACAAGGCATTGTTTGTTTTTTGTTTTTTTTTTTGGTAACTATGAGGTTCCCTGCAAAAACCAAAACACTTAAATATGATGTTTGCAATGTGGCAAAGATGCTAGAGGAGGAGATGCCATGTCAAGTATCATCAAATAAATATATGAACAAAGATAACTAGGAACTTAAAAATTTGCAAACTGTTCCATTAGTGCAGAAATGGTGGTCAAGTGACTTGAAATGAATTTTGAATTTTAAATTTTTTTTTTAAAATAAATTCAATCTTTCATGAATGTTTCTTGTATTTCAGTAATCACCTAGGGAAGAGTCTGCAGCTGCTGATGGACAGAGTGGATGAGATGAGCCAAGACATTGTTAAATACAATACCTACTTGAGGAATGTGAGCAAACAGCAGCAGCAGAAACACCAGGTTGGTAACATGGAAAACCTGAATGAGAGGATTTTTTTCCACAAATTATGGTTTGGGTGGTGTTATCCAAGACAGATGAATTTGGATCTAAACAAGATAAAATTCTTACAGAAACATATCCATTAAGTAGATTTATAAATGTGCTAGTCAGTGGGGAATTACCAAATTCACTCCTGCTGACATGTAGTGTGGATTGGTCTTTCTTTGCTTTTTTACATGTTTCTTAGTGATTTATGATGAACCAAAATCATTGATAAATATGCTGTGGACACAGGGATTAGAGGTTTAGTAAATGAAATGAAAGAGCTGAAACTACAAGTGAACTGTTCCAAAAAAACCTGCGTTTTAATACCATCACAGGTAGTCATGCATCTAGAAATAAAGAAACATAGTCCATATTTAAGAGACAGTGGACTGTTCTCTGATCGGAAATGACATTTTAATAATGTTTTGTATTAGTAGATAGTGATACTGATCAGGTGATGCCGACTTTTAATTCCTGATGCCAAAGGGCCTCTTTAAAATCCAAAATAGTCTGATTAGAGAATACTGAATATGGAGACTGGCTCTAGGTGGCCCTGCTTGAGCAGAGGGGTTGGACAAAGGTCCCTTCCAACCTCAACCTCCAGAGGTCCCTTCCAGCCTCAACCAATCTGTGATTTGGAGATGGTATTATTTTATTTGCTGTTGCTGCATTTGATAAAGCAATACTGTGTCTAATTATAGAAGAATGCTGGTAAATTGGAAAAAAGCACTACGAGAATGATTTAAAAGCCTGGAAGCCTGCAGATCTTGGTGAACGCAACACACTTAATGTGATAAATTAAGTTAACGAGTGACTTGCTTACTCAAGAAGTACCTGCATGAAAAATAAATTTGAACTCTTTAATCTAGCAGGGAGAGAGATGACAAGATTCAATATCGGCCAACTGAAAATGGGCCAGGCCACTTTAAAGATAAAATATTGCAGGTATTGCTACACAAAGTAGCTAATTATTAAAAAGAGCACCTGTGGTCCATGTGACATTCTTCATCACTGACTTTTTTTAAAATCAAAATTGGCTTTTTTCACTTAAGTGAAGTGTAGCTTGAACAAGGAGTACTTTAGGGAGGCAGCACATGATCAGTGGTTTCTCCTGGCTTTGTAATTCCTGAGGACATAGAAGCTTCATGCATGTTATCTTCAGAAAATGTATTTTCCTTTGCTGCCTAATTTGAATAGAAAGATGGCATCCACTTCAAAGGTTTTTGTTAATAAAAAGGGGATCTATTTATTTTGAAAAGCAGAGCAAAGTAGGTTCCATGCTGTCTCACTTAATTTCTTTACTAACTATAGCTGCTTTAGTAGTGGCTCATTGTAGCATAGTTAGTGGTCTTAACTTCATTTTTAAAACAGAGCAATTGTGATTAAGAGCAAGCCGTTTCAATAGAGAATAATAGGCAGACTGCTGAGAAGTGAATGGGGTAATGCAAAGAAAGAAGAAACTACATGCAATTCACATACAAATATGGGCATTTAAAATTTTATTTTTAACATTGTCCAAAAACATGTATTTGTCACTACTACTGGAAAAAAAATTACTTCATTTGAGTATGCCACCAAGTATGAACTGTTTTCAGGCTCTTATGCACAGATACATTTAAGTAAGTGAGAGAAAACACCCTGTACTCTTTGGTCTGTTTCTTTTAAAGATATTTTGTTGTTGTTGTTGAATATGAGGACTTCAATAGACAAACCTTACAACTAATTCCTGGCTGTGACATACAGTATGAAATCTCACATATGTGTTTTTGAATGCATGTACTTCTGCAAGAACAAATGTTTATCCAATAGCTGAACAAATGGTCTGCCTTAATTTTTATAAAGTTTGAGCAATCTGCATGGCAAAGGGAAGCACTGAAAACAAATCTGATTTTTTTTATAGCAGAATAATTTCTACAAACTGCTACTCTAGTATATGCTCTGGTAACCTACAAAGAAATGGCATCAAAGTGGCAGAATATCTAAATAACTGGAATGGCAAAATGAACCATTGTGCTTTGTTTCAGCCACCACTTTGTTCTCAGTTTAGAGTTAATATTTTTTGGCTTAAAATACCTTGTTTAATCAAGTTCTCTTCCCCTTTCACATTAATATTGTTTTGACCTTTTAACTTGCATAAAATTGAATATTTCTGGTTTGTACAGCTATTTGAGGTAATGGCTTCTCATACCTACATATTCCAACCTTGTTTTCCTTTTTTGCATGGGGAAATGGAGGCCTTTATCTACCATGCTGTATTCTTTCTATCAGATACAGTATTTATCTCTATGAAAAAAATTTAAAAATTAACCCCACCACCTCAATACCACATAATTTTCCAGTGCCTCACTTACTTAAGGTGCCAACTTGGGGAGGAAATGCTTGTTACCAGTGAACTGAAATAAACTGTGAATTGCACTTGCATTATTTGAAATAAACTGGATTGCATTGAATAGGTATAATTTTTAAAACATACTTGCTGGTTAGGTAAAGAGCATCTGAAAACAAAAACTTTTTGCTGCTTTGGAAGTCCTCTTGCATTCTGTTTCTGTTGCTTTATTTTCAGTACCAGCAGAGACGTCAGCAAGAAAATATACAGCGTCAAAGCCGAGGAGAAGCCCCTCTTCCTGAGGAGGACATCAATAAACTTTTCAAACCACCGCAGCCACCTCCAAGAATGGAGTCACTCCTTATTGCAGGTAATGTTCTAGCAGCCTCTTCAACTCATCTTTTCATATATGAATGTTACCTTGGGAAAAAGTGCAGTTGTTACCTTAGAAAGAATCTTAATTTTTCATTAGCTTTGCTATTATGGTGTGATATTTTGGCATTGGTAGTATTCTAAATACTGTCCCTCGTGTCTGAAGTGTTTTTAAAAAAAAAAAGTAGCCAAGAAAAACAATCTTATTGCTAGTAGGCAGTCCCTGCCTCTGTTAGAAAGTAAGTTTCCACACATAGAAGAATTTTAAACCATCTAGGTAAGTAACAGAGGCATGTTACCCCTGCAGATACGAACATATGTAATTTTTTGAAAGCAAGCCACTGTGTTTAACGGCAGAATGCAGAATGGCTGCATAAAGCTTTAATCTTGATGTATGGAGACTTTCTCCCTTTATTTCTTATTTTCCCATGGTACCTAGCTCCTGCTTGACTGTCTGTGCCTCCTGGGTTGATGGGAAAGGGCAGGAGCAGCAGCCAGAGCCTCTTCCTGGCTCCATTCTGAGAGGGTGAAATGGGATTTTAAAGGAGACCTGGAGGAATGCCCCACGGAGCAGACTTTCTGCACAAATGGATGTAGTGACTACTGCAGTCAGTAAGCTGCTCTCTGCACTCATACCCCAGCTCCTCCCTCAACTGCAGAAATTCGGGGGCTGTACAGACAAGAGGCAGGAATAAGCTGTTTGGGCTGGAACTACTGATTCAGAGCAGTTGCCTGCAGCCCTAAGTTACTGATAACATCCCTAGGTGTTGAACTGGCTGTTGCAGCAGCTGGGAAGATTTTACTTTTTATTTCGCACTGAATTGGGATATTTTCTTTGATTTCTACGGCTAGAGTTTTAGGGAAACTATCCCCATCTTCCTGCACCTCAAGGTGAATGAAAACGTAAATGGGAACAAAGCATAGGTATAGGTCCCCACCCTCCCTCCCCCCAATTTCTTGAGTTTACTGGTATGCTGCAGTACGTAGCCACAGTTTGGGACAAAAGTCAGTGCCTGTCCTTTGCCTCCTGGAAGGGTAAAAATATCTGGGACCTTACAGTGGCAACAGAGAGCAGAAAACCTAGATGCCCTGCTAAGTAATCTAAATTTGGAACATGTAATGAGAAAGCTAATTGTTTAACTATAGCAGGCTTTTTGGATCAGTTAGCTGTCACCTTGTTTTGTACTGAGAGAAAATTAAACCAAAGTCCTGGTAATTCAGGGTACAGAAAAGAATGCTTTTGACATAAAAAAAGTTAATTTGAACTACCACTCTTAAATTTTGGAGTGACCAAGAGGTTATTATTTTAATATTAATAGTGTTTCACACTGCTAATAAGTGCTGCTTTTAGAAGAAATAATGTTCTTGATTTATTATTCCTTCCAGAGTCTTTAAAAAACTATTGTTTTGATAGCTTTTACCAGTTAGTGAATCCTAGCAGCATTAAAGTATTTAAACGTTCAGCTTTAGCATGGCTTAAGAATGCAACAAAAGTGTGTAGGTGTGTACACGTATGTTTTATGAAAGTGATAGCTTAGGATGAATCATCTCTTACAAGAGGAGGAATTGAAAACTATTATACTTAAAGGAAAAAAACAGTTTTCAGCCAAAGCGCTCTCTTTGTTTGTTCTTTTACCATAGTCAGGGGAAGAATTGAAAGCATCCACTTCAACTTAGATGAAGTAAAGTTTGTGGATAAAGAATAAAACTTAGCTCTTTTGTCTCTGAGGCATTTAAAAACTTTTCAAATAGAGCATTAAATTGAGAGTTTATTGGCCTTCTAAACAGTCTTAATTTTGATTAAACTGGCTTCATGTTTTGCTATTCCTAGCTAACAAGGGAAATAACTTGTAGCAGTGCATGTATAAAAATGTTTTGATGGGCACGTTTGATTTGTAAAGCACTGACAAGCCTTCATGCTCTGATAATTTTTGAAATAGCTAAGAAAGTGAAATATTAGGTGGAAAAAAAGGCTAGCAAAATGTCAAACAGGAGTACCACAATTTTCAATCTGCTACTGAAAAATATTTGTTACACATATTTTAATAGGGACAGCAGATGCATAAGAACAGAACTGAAATTCAGTCTTGTAGTATTTTTAGAGCAACTAACTTGAACAATTAATGTTATTAAGCTTCCAGTACAGCAGCAAGAATTGTTTATTTTTTTTTATTGTCATACATATTTTCAGAAATTGTACATAATAGAATTGTAGGAAACTTAAGGGTATTTTGAGCATACCAGTTTACCTATTCTGCTAGTTTAGTTTATTCTTCTTCCCAAACCTATTTGGGAATACTGAAAATGTAAAATTCCTAAGTGTAGAGTAGTTGAGCTGTTCTGGTTGCTTTTCTCTGTAAATCCTGAATAATTCATGCACATTTGGCTTTTGAAAAGTGATGTTCTAGGATGTCTTTCTGAATTTCGAAACTGACAAGGGTTTACTCTTCTTTGCTATTGACAGGTCAAATTAATACCTACTGCCAGAATATTAAGGAGTTCAATGCACAGAACCTGGGCAAGCTTTTCATGGCTCAGGCTCTCCAAGATTACAACAACTGAAGAAATTTTGCTGTAGCCCTCAACAGGAAGACTTTCAGTTCTATACTGTTCATGATCCTCTTGAAAATTTAGTATATTGGAAAGAGAGTCTTGTAAAACAGTGTCACCTTGGTTTGTGTAGAATTCTCCTGTAAGAAAAATAAAGGCAAATTTTAACGATGTTTTAGTATTTCCTTATTTGTTGGCCCTATCGGACTGGAATTTTCTGTGGTCACTCAGGTTTTCTAAATGTTTGGCAGTTATTCATGTTTAGTCATAGCAAATAATACAGGTTTTATTTAACTTGGAATCTCAAATAAAAACAAATTATTACAAATGTTCAGTATAGCTGACTTCACAGAAGAAATTTAAGATTTCCCAGTTTTGGTTGAGAACTTACAACCATAATGTGCTACTCACTTGGAGCAGTTGCTTGTTTTTATTTTAATCTGTTTGGACAGTCTGGTGCAATGGGCCTTCCGTATCACAAATATTTCATAGGCCTCACATTTGGAACATACAAAACTAGCATTATGTGGAGACCGATCCCCACCATCTCATGCTAAGCTGTGTTCCTATTTTCTGTTGCCACCACCAACTGGATTGAAATCCAGTGATGCTACTGAAGTCTTCATGACAGAAACCGTAGAAGTAGCTAACCTGGAGCGGCTAGTGTGGTGTAAATGGACACCATACGTACTCTGCATTAACTTTGCCATCTGGATGTGCCTTTATTCCTGAACTCAGGCTACTTATCTTTTTAACAAGAATGTTAATTTAAAGGTTTAGTGGCAGCTCACACATGTTACTGTCATTGATTTATTTTTTTTTTCTTGATTTTTTTCTTGCATGTCATTGTGTGATGAGTTCTGGGAGCCTAAAATGGCTGAAGGAGTGTGGTTTGGTCTTTTAAAATAAATAACATCCTCTAAATACAGACCTAGCATGGAATATTTCAGCCTCTAAGGTGAATGTTTTGGAAAGTCAGAAGTGTGTGAAAACTGGAGGTTAGACGAAAAACTTTTTTTTTTTTCCAGTCTAAGCTATAGTGATTGCAGTGTTTATGTAAATATGGATGCAAATTTTGTTCAGCCCTCACATATCTGGCAAACTGCCGGTCTGATCTTTTGCCTTGGAAACTTTGGGTACCTTTGTGTTAGCTTTCATACAGTGAACTTCTCTGAAATCAAAGATTAGTTAAGTATCCTGCTACAGTGCCACATGATTGAGTTTCATTTCCTATACAAATAATATTCAAACTGTGTTAATTTTCTAGTTTTCTGAAAGACCAAAATAACCACCAGGGAACAGAAGTAGGAGCAGATAATTAGACTAAGATGAGATATTTGAGATAGAAAAAAACAATCTTCTGGATAACTGGGAATAGAAGACTGTAGTGACTGTATATAGAAGGAAGCAGTAGTAACACTACACATACTAGAAGGTCTGTAAAGGCGGTGTTAGCAAAATAAATACTTGGAAGGGTTAAAAACAAGCTGTGTGTTTTGAATTAGTTCTTTAAGATAGATGATGTAAATGTGAGAAAGAGGGCAGTAATATTCTACTGTGCTGGAGTTGTAACGAGATCGGTGAATTTAGCTAGGTCCAGTGTGCTAAATGTCGATTAAAATCCATGAAGAAATATGGAAGACTTCAGCAGAGGTTTGTGGCTTCTAAAGGTATGGATCTGTGTCAGACAGGGGAATGAGATATAAAAGGTGGTGAGGTGTAAGTAGATTTTGGAGGCGATTTGACTATTCTGTTCTGAATCACACTTTGGCCTTCTGTCATGGTGGAAATAATTAGAGGAAGCCTCCGTGAGCAAGGGAGGTGGAGTATGTTGAAGCTGTTGGTCTAGAAATGAGAATCAACGGCTGTGGAGATTAGGAATTAAAAGGTGTGGGGCTGCGTCTCCATGCTGGGTTCGATGTGAGCTTTCCTCACTACCTCTGTATTCCTGGAACTTCACTTTTACATGTTTTCTTCCTGATGTGAGTGAGCTGGAAGCTCATTCACCATAAGACGTGTCCTTTCCATTTCTAATTACCATAGCACTACTCATATTTTCTCCTTTCTTGACTGTGAAAGGCTTTTCTGTATGCTAATAAAAATGTAGTGACATTAGAGTCTTTAAGAATCACGTGTAAAGAAGGTAGAACTTTTTTGGTCAGCGAGCCTGTTGTCATTGCAGAGGCAAGCAAGGCCTCTGCCCGTGGTGCCATCTCCATCGTGTGTCCACAGGTAATGCCTGTGGACACAGGAGACAAAACGTGCACGTAAGGGAAAACCTTCCCTGCAGTTGTTAGTTATACACATAGTCCACATCTAGCCATCGTCTCTCCTGTCACGCTCCTAACCATCCAGGACTGTGCTAACTGTTCTGTAGTTGTTTTTTATTTGTGCAGAACTATAATCCTTGTAAGAGAACATGTTACTTTGGAATCCAGCTCTAATTGGCATGAGTCTTACAGGCCACTCTTCTAAGCTAGATGTGCAAATCTTTCAAAAGTGAGGTTTGAAAGGAGAAAAAAGGGGATGATTATTTTAGTTTTGATGCTGAAGCAAAACGGTATGTCTTCTAGTTGGTCAATACTTGGGATCTTCACCAGTATAGCTCTAGTTTTGCTGTAACATTTACTGCCTCTGTTCCACTGCTACTTGTGAAACGCACTGATTGTACTGATAATGTGAGCCTGTGTGGGATGTGAGGTGCCACCTCCCGTAATCATGGCACTACCTTGGTCATCGTGCCATGACTGCCTACTTACAGGAGTACTTACACCAACTCCCTTTTCACCTGTAGACAAAGCATAAGGGCTTTGCTGGTGTAAGGTAGGTGGATGCAACTTGGTGTTGCAGAAATAGTTAGAAAGTTAGTGCTCCTGTAGTTCAAGGTAACACCGTCGCTGAGGAGTCATGGGAATGGATGGTGCATGCTCCTACTCGATCACAACGCAAAGTGGAATAGGTTTGTCTCTGAGCCTTTCTAACAGTCTGAAATGTGTCTGGTTATACTGACAGCTCTGAGGTTATCTTCAGGACAGGCAATAGGAAAGGATGCTAAACTTTGGACCATCTACTTGCTTAACTAAAAAAATAAGTGTAATTCCTCAGATATAGTTAACTGCCACAGTTGTTGTCAGAGAATAATCCTTAATATTTAATGAAAATGAAACTAAATGGGAGAGCTTTTCTGTGACCCAAACATACTTGGTGTGCCCTTATCTTGACACGAAGATACGATGCGCTATTTCCATTCTCCTTTCGCTGTTCTCAAAGTTGGACCAAACTCCATCCAAACTATAAGCGTTCTGCTGCTGGCTGCCTACATGGAGGAAACCTGGGGGGCTTTCCCCCCTTCTACACAGGTTATCGCATCCTTTTTCTTCTCAGCGCCACATGATGTTCCCCCAAATACTTAAGCATTTTAGAGGCTGAATTTCTACTCCACAGCATCCTGTCAAAGTTTGGACTTGTGTGCAGAGCTGAACAGCGTGAGTCTAAGGTACTGCCAGGTGAGAATGGGTAGCGCTTGTCCAGGTGCAAACAACTGCAGGGAGTGCAGAGTAGAGAAGGTCTGGGCGAGGTTGCAGATGTCCTGTTTGGTGGTAACGAAGACATTGGATGGGATTGGCAGTGGCAACCAATAACGCTTGTAAAGAACATCTGATGTCTTTGTGTTTATGCTTTGCAAATTTCTGAGCACAGAGTCATTCGTTCATCTTGTTGGTCAGTATTGCCTGTTTTTTTGCCTTCTGATGAATCTCTGATGCGCCAAATCACTGGTGACAATCTGAGACATCTTTTAGAAGCAAGCACTATTTAACGGTTCTCACTTGGAAGTCAAAGGACTCCTGGTGCTCTGTTAAGAAGTCGTTAGGAGCTGGTGATGCAAATAATATCACCAGCCAAAATATGTGCAATGTGTGCAGTAAGAGGAATTTAATTGCTCTCTGTAGAACTGCTTCTCATCCAGTTTGCCAGCCCTGGGGTGAAAGATATGTCCCTCATGATTTTCCATGCCTGTGCATTTTCTTCCCCTGGATTTCATACTTCCTTTTAATTTTCTTCAGGTTTTACCCACAGCTTGTTGACTTTTAAGCAAAAAGAGCATGCTGCTTTAAATCCAATGCCTTCTGTCATTATGTGCTTTACTTTCCCATGAATTCCTCTGGAAAACTTTGTCTCCAACTGGAAAGATGTTTTAAATTTTGTGAGCTGAACATCAGATTCATGGTGGAAGTTTCGGTTGCTCAGGTGTCAGGTACGGCCCTGAGCTCCACTTTCGCATGCCCCTGGTCTTCAGCTGCAGGGGACTGAATGCCTGGGCACTGCTCAGGAGACGGTGGTGCTGCTCCTTGGGACTAGTCCAGAAGGAGTGATTCAAAAGCTTTTCATACCAACTTTACAACTGGAAAGAGGTTTACACAGGGTTGGGCCTGTTTTATTTTTTGATCTTTTAATTGACAGACCAGATTGCTGTTGACACAACTCATCATACGCTGAGCAGTAGCAAATTGCGCAGAGCTGTAGAGGATGTCTTTAAAAACAACAGCTTTGGCAAAAGGCTCCTTAGTGAGACAAAAGTTAAGGTCTTATTTCAATTAAAGCAAACATTTATATGTGAGGAAAAATGGCCAGATCCATTTTACAATGATATTAAAAGGCATTAGGGTGTCAGTAAAATAAATAAGGAAGGGTAGCAATGTATTTATCCAGTAGAAACGCAGCTAAAGACTTCAAAAGCTTTGTAAGATGAGAAGAATGTGTGCAACAAGGATTTCCATTCTGGTTTAAATGATCAATTTATTAATCTGTCACCATTACTGAGGGTGGTGTTCTATACATATCATACAATGCATCAAAATTTAATCTTTTTCTTCTTCTGAATTTGAGCAATAAAAATTCAGGCTTATATGCAAAAATGTGTCCTGTTTTCCTCATTCAGTGTGTGATTTCATCGTTCATATCTCAGTAAAACTGATGGAGAGTCATACCCAAGAGGTTAGAAGGTTGACAGCTGATTGAAGGTTCGGGGTCTCATCCCACGCGCAGCATTTGCTTGCTTGCATATCCTGACATTTGAAAACAAATCGCTGAAGGATTTAAAGTAGGTTTTGTCTGTCACAGAATTGGTTAATTTTTTTGTTCCCAAATCTTTCACTTGGCTTCTTTAACATT